TCTTATTAAAAGATTTGCTTAACGTAGCCCTTGAACTTTTATCAGAAAACACACCCATTCTCCAAATAAATAGTTTGCTGTTGGAAGTCTGAACTTCATCTCTGTTGGAGATGGATGTACTTGCTGACTTGGTTTCATGTCTTAAGTTGATTTTCCTTTTTACTTCACTGGATGCCTGGGAAACTCCTTCCTGTCCAGGACTTGTTAAAAAAATATGACAAAAACCATCTACAAGAAAGCAAAGAATATTACATTATTTGCCTCGGTTTGTGGGAATCWTAGATCCGCCCCCGTTTTTACTTTGAAAGTTCGTTCTGGCATCAGGATCGTATCATTTGGTTCAGCCAAGCCGTTCTCCCTTAGCGGGTGTCGCTTCCTTTGTCTGCACTTTGTTTTGTCTGCATTAATATCATTAAAGTGATGTTATTTCTTTCTTCTTGTATTCACTTTCACGTTAAATCACGCGATGAGGAAAAATCTAAACCCTCGGCCGGCATCTGATACTGGTTTACCACGGATTAAACTAATTCACATTTAATCATAAATACTTTTTTCTTAATTTATTTTTCGTATTTCATATCCCAGAATCAAGCCATGCATCCTCAGCAGAGAATAAAACATCTGTCAGGGCTGATTAATTTGTTGCATTCATTTGTTTTCACTACCTGTGTGGTTTTAAAGGATCTTAGGTGTATAGGCAATGCTTTAACTAGATTATAATGCACATTATCCGTAAGGCTGCAGTGATCTGATATCTGCTATGTTAGCTCCCTTGTACAGGAGTTTTCCATAACATCAGACGGTATAAATTGATATAGGTTTTTATTTTATTTCTGCAGTAAATGGTGTTTTTGGACGTTGGATGTAATGCATGCAACGTTCTCTGCGTGAGGCTTAACGCGTCGTGTCTCTTCTTAACCAGACATGACCCCTCTTTGATAAAGATTTATTGCCGGTGCCAATGTCCTTTGTTTCCACCTATTTTAGAAAGATATTTTCACTTCGGTAACCTCTACAAGTGACTCTTGTTCCCAGCAGTACTCGCAATAGTCCTCCCAGGAATCTGTTAGCTTCTTTGACCAGGCTGATTAGCAATCTGGACGCAATATATCCAATGCGAACATATTTTGCTCCTTTTCACTTGCATGTGATTAAGTTTTATCCTGGATTTTCTTTTTGGTTAAACGTGCACAAGTAACCTCGCTTAACTCACAGATTCAGACCTTGGTGAAGCAACCTTCTAATGTTAGCAAAACTGTCTGGATAAGGTGGACCAACGCAAGGTTCAAAACAATAATAACAATGCAATATTAACAGATTAATAATAATAGTTTAATTTATTTGTTATTCCGAACAAGGACTGACTTCGGAAACTTCCATAAATGACCTTGTTTTTATTTGGTCTTATTTCCAATCAGACATAATCGTTTTTCTCCAACTGTTGAGGATGACCCGACTCCTAATACAAAATGCACATTGAACTTTAGAGGTAACTTAACACAGTGCTTGAACCAGGACAATTCCAAGGGAGGGAGGGGGGGGGGGGGTCCTTGTACTCTTCGATCGCGAAAGCTAGTATGTAGTTCCTCCTTAGATCTTACATTATTCTTTAAGGGGTTTGGTGGATCCTAGGATAATTCCAAAGGGGGGTGGCTGTTTTCTAGAAAGCCAGTATGTTGTCAGAATTTACAGTTTTCATTTGACCTGATGATGTTGTCGAGATGACAGTGAGACGTCTTTTACAACTAGTTTTCTTGTTAAGAATCTTGTTAAGCATCTATATAGCACGTAGAAAAGAAAAGTACAGCATGGAAGTGCGGCCAAATTCTTCTAATATTTTCATTTTGACTGCTTATTCTGATCAAGTTAGGGTTTTTATAAGTTCAGCTATTCCTATTTCATAGGGTGGTAAGGGTGAAGGGGAGTACGAATGGTTAAAACATGTCAAGAAAATAGGTATTTCACGTAAACGGTCACATCATGTTTCACGAAATAAATGTTTTGCATCCTTTGAAAAAATGAGTTGTTAAATTCAATTGAAATCCACAACATAGCATCTTTACTGAAATGAGTGGACAATGACAAGGATTACTACTACTTCTGTTTTGTCTTCTTTTTCTCTTGATTTGTTTATGACTACTGCTAATGCTACTACATGTATCTTGATTAGTATTATCATTTTAGATGATATCTGACAATTGGCCTTGAATATATATTATAAATATTTAAAACACTCATTAATAATTCATAAGCTTATGGTCCAATTGGAGCCACCATACACGTCACGTGCATGAACCTTTATACCCGATAAAGTCCTCTTCATTAGTATTCAAGTGATATAAAGACACAKATGTCTTTATATAAAGACACATGTGATCTTTATATAAAGACCACTCGAATACTATGAGGATGACTTCATCAGGGATGAAGTATGCATCCAAGTTTAGATGAAGACATAGAGCTTCATCAAGGCCATAGTCAACCCTAAGGATCTTTGACTAACGTGCCTGTCTTTGGCTTGGCACGCAATATCCAACTTGTGGGAGCTTCTATTGAATCTGGTTGCGCATGCCCGTGACGTCAAATCTCTATCGAAGTATAAAAATCCATGTTCGTGACGTGTATGGTGGCTCCAGTTGAACCAAAATCTTATAAATCGTTCATGAGTGTTTTAAGCAGTTCAAAAAACTCGTAGATCGTGTTTTATCAGGTATAAAAGCACTCGGCTATGCCTCGTGCTTTTATACCTGATAAAACACTCCTACTCGTTTTTTAAACACTACATATATATATATATACACTCGATTGCAGAAACGTTGTAGTATACATTTATACATTTATACAAATACCTAATGAGATGCATATTGCAATTTTACATTTTTAACCCTCAAAAYCAATTGATTTATAATCTGTAGGATATAAAACACAAGAATAAACTATTTTGACCTTCATTGAATGAAACAAATAATAAATAAARCGAGTTTTCTGTTTTGCATATCATTAGATATACTGAATAAATTAGGTATTTGCATAAATGTATACTACAACCTTTCTGCAATCAAGTGTACAGCCATTTGCAAAAATTATGTCCGCTTCCATATGTATATACAAGTATATCAAAAACATATCAAAAATTGTGGGATATCATCCCTGATGTTTTTTTCGAGTTGTCTATATATATGCACTTGATTGCAAAAAGGTTGTAGAATACATTTATACACATATCTAATGAGATGCAAGATATCAAATGAGATGCAGAATGTAAAAAAGTAACTTATTTGGTGTTATTTATCTTCTGTTATATATCAGAGACATAGGTTTTGTACAAAGTCAAGTGAAAAAAGTWTTTTCCACAAAATGTAGTGGCTAAGCAATCGTATTTTAGCATGTTTTACGTTCTGCCCCTCAGCACCTTATATATATATACAGCCATTTGAAAAAATTATGGCCGCTTCCAATATATATACAAGTATATCAAAAGCATATCAAACATTATGGGATATCATCCACGATATTTTTTTTTAGTTGTATATCACTAGGGCTTTCTGAAAAAAAATCAAGAAAGATATCCCGCCGTGTCTGATATACTTTTGATATACTTGTATGTATATTTGAAACGGCCATAATTTTTGCAAATGGCTGTGTATATGTTATATATATAATAATTCTAGAGTATATAGAAAGAGCTGATGATATATGACCAAACCTTGCACCCTGAAATCCAAGACGTGTAAAACTAAAAACAAATGATTGCCGGAATGAGATAAAAATTATCACATCAGCAGCAGCCTTGTAGTTTGCGCAGCCGTTAGAATACCATTGAGTAATAATCCACTGTTCAATAGATAAACAAGATGAACTTTGCTGGATGTATTATGTACAAACATTTCTTGTGCACAACACAACTAATGCTACGTTTTATGATAGACAACTTTGAAGCTTTATTAATAAGACTCGGTATCTCCAGACAAGATTAACAAAATGGCAGTCAAATAGCTAGAATATGAAACTAGTTATCAATGACCCTGTCAAGTATGGTTTATAGCATGTGTGTCAGATAATCATTGATTTCTGGCAAAGAACCAAGATTTTCATTTTGGGTTGCATGGTAAACTGTTCCTCGTTTCGCTCTGCTACCATGGCGGGCAGCTGTTTGGACAACGTTTGAGCACACGTGCGACGAGTCATCTCCGTGTTTCATTTCCAAATATAGCTTAGACTTCCTTACTTTACTAGGCTAATAAATCCCTGTCATAAACGACTCGGTTCACGGAGACGAAGGTATAGCTAGCAGTTCGTTGCTTCTCAGGTTCCTTAGTTTCTTTAGTGACCGTTTCGTTTGGTTCGAAGTAAACGCATACCATCTTCAGTTTTTCAAAAAAGGCAACTCGGATAGAACTAGGCCGGTAGCAATGCGTGAACGCCGGCGAAAATTATTCGATTTTGGTCGATTAAATACTAGTCTATTTTTAGCTTTTATCTAGCACTTCGCCACATCTTTTTCATGTCAAAATAAAGGGGAAGGCGTTGGCGCGCTTACGAAGCAGACACAACGGTGACTATTATAAGCTCTCAAATAATCTGAACTGTCAAATGGAAAGGTTAGTTAAGATATTCACTAAGTTCCTTTAATTCTGGCCAACTTAGACGAAAACAATTCCAGTTGGGGTCAGTGTTTCTTGTAGAAAAATATTAAACTTTGCGCTGTCTGGAGAAACTGAAAATGCATCCCACTGAGAAATATAAAAACACTCGTTTGGTCGTTTTGATCCTTGGAAATGCAAACGGCTAGAAACCCTGTGGATCTGTAGTGTCTCCATACAGTCACAAACATTCTGATCTCGCTGAATATTTAAAAAACTGTTCTATTATATAGAACACTGAYCAGGCCCCCATAGGTTAGGAGACTTAACACAAGACCTCCCTGATTAGAAACTCGTTTTTAAATAGAAGTTAAATCTTTCCCTCTAGACACTCCTAAATATATTTAAAGCACACAGTTGTGTTAACTCGTTTAGTACTTAAATAATTCAAGGTTGTTATTCGATCAACTGCGCCTGTGTCTCTGTTTTGCTTAGTATTTTATTACTGTCTATATACTGTTTTGACTGACCATATATTCACAAGAACTATCTCCTCTCTTCAGGTCATTTACAAATTAAAATCTATTTAGAAAACAATTCTTTTTGTCGCAATTTTTATCATGTCTACAATCTTGCCTCCGTGAGCGCACACACGCAAACTGAACTCATTGCCAAACCATTTCTCTTTAATCATTTAACATTCTCTTTTTCTAGAAAGTCAGCGCCTAGACTGGTAGCGCTTTTATTTCTTAACGCAATCTATTCGAGATGAATTTCATATTGCTTTCATGGATTTTGATGATCGATCTTATCCTGATAAAAATAGCCACTAACTTGACAGCTTTTGCCAAGTTCTTGCAGGCGCAGACGACCACTATAGTGAGCCGTGAATGTTATGTCTGACTATAATGGAAAGTCCAATGTAAATATTTATAAGCGGAGATAACAAAAAGAATTGTTTGGTCTAACTCAAGATTCTAAGCAGCTTGCCAGTCTTTGATAAAGCGCTGTTTTTGCTTTAATCAATATTATAAAGCGCCGGCAACTCGACTCATTGAAAAAAATCGAAATATTAAAATTAAAGTGAAGGAGAAGAATAGAGAATCTAAAAAGGATATTTGCCAGTATTCAAAGCTTTAGTTTTTTTAACACGCATTTAATAAGCAGAAACTACATGAACTATACTTTTGAATCAGTTAGTGATATAATTCATTGTTTTTAGATTCACTGAACCAATCTCTATTCTGTCTGTAGAGCTTACATATCTTCTTCTGAACTATCATGGTGGGCAATTCCATTACTTTTGACAGGACTGTTCTCCGAGTTTCCATTAACGAGTTGTACACTTCTGATGACCGTACGTGACTCTGGGCGCCGAGGGCTTCCATAGCTGTAGACAAAAGAGGAAGCCGGATGATATCTCTGGGATTTAATCCACGCGTGCATGGAACTTAACTCGTTTTCCAGTTCCCGACAAAAACTGTCCTTTTGCTCCAACTTAATGCACATATCTCGTACCTCTTGTTGAAGTACTTCAAGAGACTCGTTCGATCCATTTGCTTCGCTTCCCTCTTTATCCAACTTATATCTTCTTAATTCAGCTTCCAGACCGTTAATTATATTTTTTTGCTCGTGTGTTTCATCTTTGTATCTAGCTTGGCAAAGTCTTAAGTCTTTTTTGCACTTTCGAAGCTCTTCGTAAAGCTCTTCCATTTTTTTCGCGTTTTCTCTCTTCGAAAATTCACAAATGTCCTCGAGATCTGATTTTTCTTGCAAAACCTGCTTTGTTTTGGCTTCACTTCGAATGAAAAGATTTTTGAAGTCTTTTGCAAGAAGAGAGCTTAGCTCTTTCACACTTGGTAACTCTCCATTTTTAGAGTAGCCAAGAAGAGTGTGATAAATATTATCCTCGTTGAATGAAACGACACGGTCAACATTGACCTCTTCTTTTACTCCATTCTTTATATGCGAATAGGCTTCTTCAAAAGCATTCCATCCGTGGTCATTTTGTGCCACAACATCAAGCATATCTTTAGCTGTTCTCTCTAAAGACATTGGGTCCTTGGATGTGGGAGTTGAAATAACTTCCGAAATTTTATTCGACTCCGAACCTTCGTCAGACTTTGTTAGGGAACTTTTGTAAGCGTACTGTCCCCTAGGAGAACAAGGACTGGTACCATGGCAGTCGGAGTTGATGCAAGATATTGTCGAAGGGGCAAAAATTCTGGCTGGCGAAACAGGACCTAACATTGCCAAAGGAGTTCCAATTCCATTTTCGACTGTTCTTCCATTTGTTCTGTTTCCCACTGGAGACCAGGGTCTAAATGCAGATCTCCGGCACATGATTTCCCCCCCTGTTGTTGTAACAACTCCATTAGAACAATAGACGTATCGTTCCTCGCTTACTTCCTTATCCTTAGGACTTGCTGAACTTCTTCCATCTTTGGGTTTCTTCTCCGGAAGAGATGGACTTATCCGTGACTCTCCAGAATGCGAAGAATTGTATTCCTTGTCTGCGAGTCCTGTTTCCACATACTCCCGTTTGAGCCTTCGTCGGCTTCCCTCGGTGAATTTACTCGTTAGCATTTCCCACATCATCTGAACATGTATAGTAGGGTGATCATTACAAAGCATCAAGTAAAGACGCCAGTGAGCGCTGTCAAACCCCCAGTGACATGTGTGTACCTCGCCAGAACTGTGGGTATGAGTGACAAATGTTCTTGGAGAAAAAATACCATCGCACTGTGAACAGGTTACGCATTCAGCGTAAGGATCTGTATACAGGTCTATCTCAAGTGTTCCAACACATCCGCCAAAACACTCGTGATATACCTCTAGACTGTCCACCGAAAATAGCCGGTTAATTCTGGCGAGGACGGTCGAACATGTTAAAACTCCAATCAGTCGAAAAGCATCGCTCTTAGAGATCAATCCTGCAGAGGTACATGACCAGGGAAGCACTCCAGCGAGTTTGAGAATCTCAAGTTGTTGAGGTGTGCACCGAGGGCAGAAAATCTGGAGACGATCGCGTGCAGTATTGATAGCCTGGGTACTGAATCCTTTTAAAACTTTATCAACCAAATCTTTAAAACACAGTCTCTTTTCTCCGCCGTAACTGAAGCACGCCAATGGGAACTGGTCTACCAAAGTTTCCTTGAATTTCAGAGTTCCTTGATCACGAAACTGCACATGCATTCTTGTAGTAACTGACCTCAATACAGGATTTAGTGTTCGTTTACTATCGACAGACGAAACAATAACTTGCTTCTCTTTTGAGTCTGTAGTAGGCCAAGGCTTTTTGCCAACTCGCTCGCCAAATCCTTTGGGACCTGAGATGGAGTCTGTCGAACAGTCTCGATACTTTTGAAGGATTTCGTCCAGCAATGGATTCTCTGTTCTCTGATATTTTTCCTTCTCCATCTTCTGACGGGCTGTCACCTAGACACGGAGATAACCAAGCGCTATTTTACTGGTCTATTGAAGGAAGTACAAATCTCACAACACTACCGACTGCTACCAAGATACTGCACATGCTCTGGGGACACGTGATTAGTTCAAAAATAACTCGATTAGTTTAGCAAAATTTTTACTGCGATTTAACAAGAGTTGACACAGTTTTAAAACGTGACTGAAAGCTAAACCGTCGGATTAGAGTTCATTTCAGGCAAACACTTCGAAGTTCTTTCTAGAAATCAAGTGATCTTACCTTTAGATACAAGAGAAATACTGTTATTCAATCCCTTAAAGAGGCAACGAGAACCCAGTGGCGTAAATAATTGAACTGTGAATAGCTTTTCCAATAAAGCAGGGAGAACAGGTAGAGGATTGCACTAGAAGGGTTGTTTTAGGTTTCACAATATTCAACTTGCCAGGTCAATTACTGCCTGACTGAGCTCAACCAATCACATCTGAGCTCACCAGACAAGTCTTCACCAGGAGAGAATGCAAAATGTAAAATGTTTTCGTTTAGTCATCGAGACGTGGTCTAGACATATTGATTGTTCTGTCTAGACTTCCCCGTGACGTCTAAAGGTTTAAGGCTTTAGGAGCTAAGATGTGTTAATAATGGGGGTGGGAGATCGCTGATCGCTTCTTTTCTGTCGCCTCACGATATATTTTAATATTTGCTTTATCCGACAGAGTGCCTCTTAGGTTGCACGCTCGCCACCGTCCACAGACATATGGCGGGAATAATCAGGAAATCACTTGAAAACATGGCGCCATGAGCGTTAAGATACGGTGAGCTAGAGAAAAGTAGTCGCCATTCAATTATAGAAATGAAGGAAAAACCCACAGCTGCTTTTGGATGTGCTAAAATATTAATGAGCCTTGACAATGAGACTCACAAATAGAAACCTTTTAGCTCAAAAAACATCAAAGTCTTTTCTAGTGCCAAGATATTTTGTCTCGTTCGGTCGAGCAAACAAAACCACTCTTTCGAATTTAGTCAAAAATACCATTGTTTTTATTCCAACACGTTTCCTAAAAGTCTACCACAAACATTGTCTGACTGAAATATCCTATATAAGCCTTTTATATATTTTTCGCTGTGTATATATATTATATATATAGTTTTTTTACTTATTCTTATACTTCAGCAAGCTCATAAACATATATATATATACATACATACGCTAACATATATAAAAATACAGTGATAATAATGAAACAAGAGATGACTTATAATTTTTACTTGTTGTCCGCGTTCAACATCCCCCTCTCTTAATTGCTCTTGTTCTGGGGAAGAAAAGAACAAATTAAAGAGAAAAAAGGGAAGCAGACTGAACTAAAATTTTTTGATTGTTCTGGTTTTCCTCCAACTTCTTTGTTATTGGATACATATTTTGTTTTGATGATAACTGTGGTTTCTAATTATCATCCATATCTATATTAAATAAAGGAATCGTTTGCTTCTAAAGAAATTATTGTCTGAAAGATTATGTCGGCAAGGGTCCTCGGCTCTGTGGTCACGGAAATGACAACTCTTTTTTAACCTTAAAAGAATAATCATATATTCTCTTGAGATGAGTTTAAGAGATGTAAGAGGAGATAGATTGCCCATCTGGTACTTCTATCCACTGATTCCTATCTAAGATCAAGCAAGGCTCGTATCATGAAAACAAGAACTTGTCTTTCACAGATAATGGTCCAGCGTGATTGACTAATGTTTACTTATGGCTAATTTAGGCGAGACAAAGTTTTCATGAATGATCAGCACTAAATTGGGGAAAAATCGTGAGTAAAAAAAAAGCTTGCTATCTTTTAAAGCAGAAATTCGATTACGTGCGCTCACGTTTCGTTTCGTTTTAGATTCCCTATTCTCGGCGCCAAACTGACGTTGCCAAGGACTATAATAAGAGCACATGTATGCTTGTCTGACCTGCACGAACACCAACAAACATCAATCAATTTATAAATATATCTATTTCTATTCTGACCCTCAATCGACTCAAACGAATAAAAAAAAAACACAGCGAAGACCGAGGACAGAATGTCTCTTAGTCAAATTCACTGAGATTTTACAACTTGTTTTTTAAAACGTTTTATGGTATTAGTATATCTTTATTCAAAGCACTTGGTTTTGTTAGAAAATTTGGATCGAGACAACAATCAGACTGGCCGGTGTCAGAATTTCTTGGAAAAACCATCAAGCCACCTGTGTGATTTACTTTGACGATAAATAATTGATAACACAATGTAGTCTTGAAAAGCCAAAATGACTGATTAATACACAACGCGACAGACACCAAAAAAGGTTTTTCGTGGAAAGATCTCGACAACCGTGAAAAGAACATCCCACACCTACACCCGTTTGTCGATAGCAGTTCAATTCTCACTACCTGAACCACTAGTGTCTTATGTTCTTTGACATACATGGATATCGGATCTCTCTGGGTTATTATCAAACTATTGGTTTGGTAATTATTTAGGGGACTTCAAAGAAAGTCTCACAATCCGTTATGCTATATACCCATACACAAATCTCACGTATCCCTGGCACATATCGCTTTTCGCTTCCCAAATGTTTATTACCATTATCAGTTCCATTTTGAACTCAAAGCAATGTATTTATGTTTAAAAGGATATCGATAGAAAACAAAAAGTAAAGTTAAGCCTGTAATTATAACATCATTTAAGGGGCATTACAGTTAAGCTTGTGTGTAGTGTTCACGAACAATACTTTTGAAGGTATCTTTATAGCATTGCAGTGTTTAAATAGATTGATAGCCAGCCTCATGGTTGATACGCCGGGGCTTCCGTAGCATAAAGTAGTCAGTTATCGTACCCGGCTGCTACGCTATCAAAATTGCTCTTCCTCCCTCACATTGTTAGTGGTAATTTTTTCTAGAAGGTCCTAGAAGCTATAGTTTGCAATTCTATACATGGCTGACGACTTAAAAAAAAAGTAAATCTAAGAATAAGAACAAAAGGCCACGTTGAAAAATAAGCTTGCTATGATTCAGGTTGGCCTATTCATAGCAATCAATGACTAGTGACGGGTGTCGTTCATTTTGGTCAAATGATTGATTGACAAAGTCAAAAAAAAGTCGAAAAAACCCGACTACATCTGATACATTGCATTGTTTTAAACGCCTCGCTCGTCAACCTTGAAGCCTTTAGTCTCAATGTCAATATTGAGTTATTTTCAAGGCAATTTTAACTTGATCTACTGGTGCTACAAGGACTTTAAGCCCTGGAGTGGCTGGTAATTGGCCCACAGACGCTTCGTATATCTTAGGGGGTCCTGAATTTTAAATTTCTTCAAGGTCAAATTTTTTAAATGAATTCCTAAAAGTTAACTAAGAATATGGAATAAGATAGAATAAAACGAACTAGACTAGAATAGAATATGCGTAAGTTACTTTAGAATAGAAGAAGTATATTCTTTTAATACCAAAGCTGAAGGCAGCTTCAAGGCATTGCTGCCCAACCCGACCCTATTTCGTATCTTATGTTCCATTACAGCAAAAACCAGCCAAAGTCGCACAACTAAAAAGAAAACTTTTCGTGCTTGTCTGGATTTTGAATAAGTGGAAAACCAGCATGGCTCTCAAATGAACCGTAGACTGAACCAATCAGAAACGCAAACTATTCGTTATAAGCTTATCAGCATAGCAACTTTTAAGAAAACTACTCCCAAAGCGTCATATAGTTACAGGTGAAATGATAGGCTTGATTGAATCCGACAGAAAAAACTATACGTTTATCGCAAAACACAAAAAGTAAGGAACTTTAACCTAAAATATTTGAAAAAAATTTATGTCTAATAATAAGATTTCATCGAAAAAACATATGAAAAGACGTTTGGCAAATATTATAAATAGAATTATAGAATAATTATAATTTGAACCTGTTACATTAGGTTCTAGAAATATCTCACTAAGATTTAGCGTTTTTCAATTTCATATTTTCTGGTGGATTTTCAGTTATGTTAAAATCATTTAATTTAAATTAAAATCATTGTTCAATGAAAATAAAATTAAGACACAAAATTTCTTATTTCTTATTTGGCCAGTCTCTTTAAAATGCTAATTTTCAAATATTATTATAATTTTATGACATTTTATTTCATTTTAAGTTATCAGGTTGTTATGGTTTCGTTTTTTTAAGTTAGTTTCTTATGAAATAAAAATGGACGCATTTAAAATGTATAAAAGCCATAGGAAAAAAGGAATTATTGGGGTTTTAAATAGATAACGTCAAATTATGAGCATGAAATAATAATCATATACAGACTACAAATTACAGGCTAATAAACCAGTGATGGCTCAACTAGATTGAGAATCTACTTTTTAATTATCTAATCTGAAATCTTAAAGTCTCTATGAGGGTTTGTTTGGAAATTTCATACACTACAGGAAAAAAGTGATAACAGAGAATAAAAAGTAAATATTTAAAATATAAATACCTTAATCAGTGAGAAGAGGTTCATAAAACCTTTAACATATTTCAAATTCAAAGCAATCATGTAATTCAATAAAAACTAAATTCTAATTTCACTTCAACACATAAAATAGACTTAATAACACCATGCAGGTGTGGGCTGAAGGCACATTTAATAATCAGACAGCTACTTAATGTCAAAGAGTGCTCTGATTACTGTAAATATTGGTCTGTCTGATATCTATCCCTCATTTCTTTTATATCCCATCTGCATTATTGAATCAGACAATATAGTATGGTAGTTGTGATCATGAAATCTCTCTCTCAGAATATATTATCATCTGTCAGGTGGTGTATATGATAGCATTTCATTGCATATGCTCTCTTATGGTTCTGAGTAAAACACATTCTATTGATAGAAAGTCTTCACTTTGCGATTCTCCTTTGCTGGTTTATCTGATAATGCCAGCAACCTTTCTGTCTGAAATCTATCCCATATTCCCATAGTGACTGTACCACTAAATATATGAAACTAAAATTGTATGGAATGTTCTCTAGCAACATCACAATGCAAGCAACTTGTGGATAACACTCTTTTTTCATCTTATTAATATGGCTGTATTATGTTTTATCCCACTTCATAGAAAAGACAACCAATCAGAATGCAGCAAAGCTGTTGTATATTCATTGGTATTTCACTCTTCCCTCCCATTATGCACTGCACTTTGAATTTATGAATTCATACTAATTCTATGGCATAGACTAAAAATATTAATTTATAAAGCTATCTCGTGGCATACCATGAAATATCCCACTTGTCACTTGCATTTTCTTTGTAAACACATAGAAATTACAAGTGATGCATAGGATATACCATCATATACCATTCAAAAGCATTATATATCCATTACGTGTGCAGCTCTATGCAGTACTTATTTGACAAGTCATAACAATGCCAAATATGTTTGCTGACATTTTGCTCACACTTTTATTGCATTATTTTTTATCTTGTCAAGCAATATTCCATAAATATGCAAAACAAATTGGTGTCTACACCTTCCAGACATCCTCACTTATACCAGAAACTGGTAAAGCGAATTATTATTATAATTACTATTAAGGGAGATATGTAACTGTTAAACCTGTATTATATTTACAGTATTCAGCTTCATTATTAGAACTAGATAGATCTGGTAAAAAACGTTCTCTCAATGCTGTTATGAAATTAAAATAAACATCTTATTCAATTAATTGGAAAAAATATATCACAATTCATGCTTTGAAAAAAGCAAATAAGAACCCAAGCCACCTGTTGTTCAAAACTACCAAAAAGCAAAACATTATTTATGAGTAGTAGTAGCCTGCTTTTTAAGATTACTATACAGCATTTCTAAGCAAAATTTATATATAAACTTTTTATATGGATTAGATATTTTTGAAGTTTTTAAAAATTTTAAAGTATATGTTCATATAGTTTTGCATGTATCATTTGCCATCCTTATATGCATTTGCTAATGTGCTTTTTATAGATACGTATTTTGTCTATAGTTTTTATCATCATCATTATCATCACAGCCATCATCATCAACAATATTAAGGTAAACAGTTAACCCAAAATATGAAATTGAAAATTTCTCAACACAAAATCAAATTCACACTTCATTCAACAGAGTGAAGTGAGACAAATAAAATATGGAGAATTCTTATTTCTTTCTGTACGGTTTTAATTTCATATTAAAATATTATAAAGTACAAACCCACATATAATTTTTCCAATATTTAGAAATAATCTTTATCTATTCTTATTCTTCAAACCAATAACTATAAAATTATTTTATAGCCACGTTACAAATGAAAAAACATTCAAACTAGTGTATCTTCATTACTTATTGAAAAATGCAGTTTATAAAATACAAAAATAGGGTACTTTGTAAAATTATATTTTAATTTGTAGCTGCATCATTCAAACTATCATAAAGCATGCTTCTTTACTGATATTAAGATTATCACTTGCAGAAGTTGAAATCTTAGTTTAATCAGTTAAATGTATTTTAGCAATAATAACTATAAGTAACCATAAGCAGAATATTTACAGAGCATGAAATGGCTACTCTACAATTCATAGTTTTCATGTAGGGGTCATTAGCACAGTGGTTAAATACCATAATAGCCAGTTAGTACTTCCTTTTTCACCGACATAATTATTGCAGTAGGTAGAAAGGAATTACAGTGTACTAATGGAGAAGGAAATACTATCATTCAAAGTAAATTGTGAGTTGAGTGCTGCATGTTTTAAATTTATATAGAATGTAGTGGTAGTGTGTTGGAGCAAATTACAAAGAAGAGCCCCGTACTGGGAGTGGTGGTTGTAAAATATACTATATGAGCAAGTAATAATATGGGACTTGCACTTTTATTCCAAGCCAATCATCATATTTTATTTGCAACACTTAGATTTACTAAAAATGTTGCAAGTCTAATACTGTGAAAATCACCCAGCCATGGAATAGGCCTGAGTTTTCTTATGACAGCCAAGCCCACTTTTGGGTGATTGCACCACCCATTTTCATAAATGAGTTCTTGGCTGTCAAAAGAAAGCTCGGGTCTATTCCACACCTGGGTGATTTTCATAGTAATTTAAATTCAAAAATATTTTAAGCGAAACGCTGTGTTTGTGAAAACTTTTTTTTACCCCCAACATTACTCGTTTGCTGCACTCATTTGTACAGTGTCTGCATACACAGTTGCAAAATCATTGTTGGCTTCAAAACATACAACATGGGAGATGAGACCAAAATGTTACATGGTATGATACCTATACTTGTAAGATGGTCATTAACTGTTGCACTGACAGTAAGCATGGCGGCTTTTAACACTTTTTGTATCTACTGTGTACTGTATCTCAAATAAATAAATCAGGGGGTACAGTATTTGTCATTTCCCAACATACGTTTTGGTCTCAGCTTCTATGTCTATGCTTTTAATCTGACAATGACTTTTCAAGTGAGTGCATACTTGAATGTAATTGTTTATAAGATATTTTATCAAGGTTCATGAAAAAAATCTAATATCAGCATACTGTTCATGTTCCTTTGTATAAATACGACCAAGAAACAGACTGAACATGAAAAAATATCAATAGTATTCATATTATAAACAGCACAATTAAGTTTGGCAAACTTTTGGAATTGAGATTTCTTTTGGAATAAGTTTGGCTTGCAATTATTGACTTTAATTTATGGTTTAGTAAACACATGATTATACTTCAAAAGTCAGGGTCTGAGTAATCGTCTTCTTCATCCCAACCTGATTCAACCTTTCCTGTATCTGGAAACTCTATCTCTTTATCATACATGAAGTCATCATCACCTGGTTTAATTCGATTTTTCTCAAAATCAATGTCCATAGCCGCTTTACGTTGTCTTAACCTTTCATCATCAAGCTTGTTCATATCCTCGTYTGGGTTCAATTTTACATTTATGTGGTAAGATGAAGGTGGTATTGGTTCAATTCCTTTTAACTTATCTTGAATCATTTGTAAAAGTCCTTCAATCTTTGGATAAATGAGCGAATGAATGAATGAATAAAAATGAATGAATGAATGAACAAATGAACAAGTGAATCTATAGTATATTTATGAAAAGCTATGAAAAAGTGTGTGAATAATCGCAGATTTCAAAACTTTAAAGACCCATTGTCACTTACCGTGATTCATCACAGTTTGTTTACATTTTGAATCGTGTCACCACTGAAAAAACAATTCTAACCTTTTGAATAAACTCTTAAAAGAATGTGAAAGAATCATTTTTGTGCCTTAGTGCTATGTCAGAAAAGGATTTAATATGAAGTTATTATTCAATATATGAATCTTTGAATTTCATGGACCACGAAATTCATCTGTGACTGCGGTGCATCATGGTAAGTGGCAATGGGCCTTTAACAAAAATTACAGTCAAACCATCTCAAGCATGAACACATAGAGATTATTAATGACTTTATTTTTGCATTCTTCATTTCATTATTTGATTGAAACATTTATTATTAAAAACAAATCTTCAATAATCAAAAAATTATGATAGTTTGGAAATTTGATTAATAACCTAATCGGCTAACCTGTTGCTATGTACGTTACCACCCAATTCAATCCTTCTGGTAATAGAAGCGTTTGTCTCTACGAATTCAACTGTGAAACCAAAATATAACGAACAATGAAACTTACTCCCATGTGGATGGAATTGGGTGGAAACGTTTATATCAATACGTTAGCCTATTAGGTCTATTTGGCTCTTGTTTACAGCAGAAACAGAAGGTATGTCATTAGTATTACATATTCCTTGCACAAAAAGTTGTTCTTGCATTTCAGCAGCATATATGTTTGGCTTTTGTTTATGCTAGGCTTTGAAGATTTGTTTTCAATAATGAATGTTCAAATCAAATAATGAAATAGTCTAGCTCCTACACAGCCGCTATGTGTCGCCATGCCATGCTCGCTCCCCTAAGTAGCTACTTAGAAGAGTGGGTGTGACAACACTAATAGCATCTGTGTAGGAGACTAATAATGTAATCAATAATGCAAAAATAAAGTCATTAATGACTTCTATTTGTTTGAGGTAGTTTGACTGTAATTAACAATATTAATGAATGTATACATAATAATATACTAATACTTATTTACTGGGAGCAAAGGAAACAGTGTGTTTTGCAGTCTCAAGACATAAATTTCCTGTAGCAAATCTGAGGGAAATATCAAAAAAACACACTGATTTTCTGAGGTTCCAGCTAATAAGCATTTTGTTATTTAGCAATTGACAAATAACACAATACAATTATTTCATTGTTTGATTTTTTAAACTTAGAAAAACTTAAATTTATGGTGAAATTACTATTTGTTTTGTTTTTTATAGGCGTATTGCCTACTTGAAACTTGTTGCTGGGAAACTGTGAAATTTGATGACCAATCATGTGGCACACACTTGTCCAATGAGAAAACATAGTCTTTGACAGTTGGTATATAACAATATACACTTAACGTCTGGTTGCAAATGAAATAGTTTGTTTTGTTTTCCCAAGAGTCTCGATGTTTCAGGAAGCTGAGGGAAACATCAAGACTTGAGGAAAAACAAAACTAAACTAATTTCCTGAGGGACCAGACATTAAGTGTTTTGTTATATAGCAATTGAGAAATATTGAGAAGTCAGTTTATGAAAAAAGAACTTTATTTAGCAAGCTAATTGCATGAAAACTGACCATGATTTTACAATTATTACAACTCACATACGGTCTTCTCTACCAAAAAGCAAGGAAAGTAGCAATAGCATTTTTAGTCACTTTTTTTGTATTTTCTGAATCCTTTTTCTCAATAAAAGTCTGTAATTTTTCTGTAGAAACACTGGAAAATTTCTATTGTTTCACTTCAAGCTCCATTTGTACTGAAAATTCAAGCAAAGCATCTGCTCCCACTCTTTTGTTTTTGATTGGAGCAAAATATCACACCATCATCAATTTTCACGTTCTGATCACGTGCACTTGTTTAATTTCCCAATTATTGTCACGTGCAACTTATTTCCCGACCGGGAAATAAGTAACTTATTTGCTGGTCAGGATACATTTAGATTTAACTAGTGTCACCTGGTCACCTTTCAACCCATGAGAGTGTTTGTTATATCAGAAAATGTTGTAGCTTATAACAACACTATTTATTTCATTCAGTTGGTTTGAGCAGACAACCAGATACATGGAGATAAACACATGTTAAGAGCTTGATATCGTTTTTGTTCAGAAGTCTCCATATCATATTGCGAACTAGCAACTCTGTGAGGGAGTGTGCGATATGACATGGAAAATGAGTGATATTTTAAAAAATATCAGGCTCTTAACACGTAGTAATTTGTTTATTACACATTTAGGGTCAATAAAATGACAAAATTTGCAGTTTCCAGTTTACAATGAAGTGATATCATATCACTTCACTGATAATTATGGTTTTTATTCACGGCTTTATCACACAGATATTGACCCTAAATGTGTAATAATATTTCATTTACATGTACATTTTATTACCTGTTTATGAGGAATATTTTGAAGGTATTTCAAATGATGGTCACTTCCTTTAAGATGTTTAGTAGCTTCTGATATACTGGGAAAGGAAAAAAATTCCATTACATACTATGTTTAGGATGGCTTACATGTAATTGTGTCTTGATAACCGCTTTTTTCTGTAAATTTCACATTATTTCAATAAACAGACAATTGTAGTACAATAATAATTGTACTTAATAATAATAACTTTAATAATAATAACTTTATGTTGTATTGTGCAAATTCTACATACGTACTCAAATGCGCATCACGGACAAATTGTAAACTAAATCATAATAAATATATATATATAAGTAAAAAGTAAATATATACATACATGCATATAAGAATAATATCAATAAACAGATTTACTCAATAAAAATGTCTTAAGCTGAGATTTAAAACATAAAATAGAATTGGAACATCTAATTTCAAGAGGAAGATTGTTCTATGTATGATTTAGGCACGGTGCACAAGAAAGCATGATCAAACAAAGGTTTCTTAGAATAAAGTAGGAGGATAACTAATGTTTCTTGCAACTATTGTAGATTATAAGCAAAGAAAGGCAAATAGGCAAATCAGAATATAAGGCTGCGTTCATAATGTATAGCAGAGGGGGGGGGGCAGGGCAGGTGAAATTAAGGGGGGATCTAGAAAATTTTGGTAGGAAAAATGGGGGGAATGGACAAGTTTTGGAAGAAGCTATAAGCCTTGTTTAGGGGGATCACATTTTTTGGCATGACTTTGGAGGGGGGGGGGGGTGTTAAGAATTATTCTGGCCAAATGAAATATGTCTGTCTGTCGGTACCTGTCTGTCTGTCTGTCATTTCAAATTTTTACCTGATCCCCCCCCCCCATGCCATACATTATGAACGCAGCCTAAGACCAAGCCTACAAATTGAACATGGGAACTCCATGAACTCCTCTATAAGATGTGGCATAAAATAAAAAAATATGTTTACACACTGTAAATTTKAAAAAAATATGTTTACTGAAGATTGCAAAACTTGAAGCAGAACTTTTAGTACTATTTCCTGTATATTCTCCCAGGGTCAGAGTGAAAAGTGAATCCAGTTGGTGGAAAAGACAGCAAAAGTGGGACAGTTGGCGGCTGCCATGTTGTTTCTATGGTTTCACCCGACATAATTACTACTGGCGCATATTTTAGCATGGAGGCGTTTCCACCCTTTTTGTTCCAGTTGCAGTATTTGATAGAAGCTTTTGTGCCACCAGACTGGCTGCATGTCAGGGTAACCCTATTTCTGTACCCAAAGCCTTCTCAGCTTCCTTACAAAAAATCGAAGGCTCTGGTAACATACAGTACCTGAAATTTTTTGCATAGTCATCTGCTTCCAGTTTGCTGATTTTACAGTCAATGGTTGAAATTTAATAATACTTTACTAATAGTGTTAATCATGTTAATCACAGATAAAAAACTTTTCCATAAACAACATACAAATAAGCTTGATTGTCTTTGTTTTGAAGAAAAAAGTTCGTTTTCAATTTATACCAGAAGTCAGAATATGTGGATTATACTCATATCTGACGACATCTGGGTCATCCAGTTTGTGTTAACAGAGCCTTGGATTTCTTGGTGAGTAGGGTCTGGGTACAAGAATGAGAATGACCCTTGTACCTGATCTGACTTACGACAGCATTATTATAGGAACAAATTATTTCCTTATAAGACCAAGAAAAATTGGTATACAAGAGAACTAATAACATAAATAAAGTTTGGTACTGAGATTGTCTCTGACTGTTCAAGAAAAATGAAATATTAAAATATCAAAAATTAGAGAGGATTCTGGTGCTAATGAAGGGAGGGTCATTAGGGGTTGGAAATTGGATAATGAATACTTCTGTAAACAGCAAGAACACAGTCATGCCAAGGTCATGGCACTGCCAAACCAATTGCATTGTGCTAGAAAAAATCAGCCTACAAAAATTGGACAAAACATCATGGTTGGGGAAAGGCATTCATATATGGTACCGAGATTTTCACAGTCATATGAAAACTGCTAAAAAATAATGAATTCTTACTTGGTATCTGCATTGAATTTCCTTATTGGTATTGATCTTCTGTGTAATTTTCCTGTAAATATTGAAATAATAATGAAGGTTGCTGCCTTACTGTACATTGAATGCTTTAGTTATATTTTAAAAACCTGATTGCAATTTGAAGTATTTCTTCTGCAAGTTTTTTAAGAGTCATCTCAGTAAGAAAAATGATAAGGCAGAAATGCTAGGTGACCAGCTTTCAATCAAAGCCAATTTTCATTAAAAAGCTTATTTTACAAACTTTACTTTGCTCTAGCTACCTCTGCGATTCAATGCTAAAAGACCAATACTGGGTTGTCTGACATAAGAACCATTTTCATATGACCCGTATCTGCCCGGGCTCATGCTCTTGAAAAAACCTTCGGGAAAATGGCGTGAGCAGGGCAGTACATCTTTGAGCCAGCAGGGTTGTACAAATCAATACGGCCCTGCTCGAATCCACACGCTTTCTCATTTTTAGCTCTTATTTACTATTCTTTCTTTCTTTTATTTTATTATTTTTCTTTTCATGAGGGTCATATGATAAAATGCTTATTGACTGAGTTAGGTCGGGCCGTACGGGAAAATGTTTGGCTCTTGGTCATTTGTACAGAGCCAAATATTTTCTCGTACGGCCCTCCCACTCAGTCAATAAGTACATAACGGTTGGTATTTCATATTGCTAACAATACCTGTAAAAGACATCATTTTTTTGTAAATATTGTAAAAACAAAACAAAAAATTATTAAAGAAATCCTGGAAAAAAAGAATTTGCCACAGTGTGAAGATAGAGGTTAGGACATTTTCTATTTTGTTTTATTTAGTGTAGATAACATAGCTACAACATTACCGGAAAATGAGCGACAAACTAGCATGATGAACGAGCGAAAAAAGTACTCGTTTTGTTCTTATGGTAAGAGTATTCGTAGTCCATACATGATCAAAAACAAAATCATTCGAAAAAGCACTTTTTGAATTCCACAATTAAACAAATCCAAGAGATTTTTGACAAAGTTTAAAGCTAAATAACATTCCTAAAATTACTGGCAAACGAGCAAAAAACTAGAATAACAAATGTGCAAAAAAAGTGTACCTGTTTTGTTATTATGGTAAGATTACTTTCATTTTTAATTTCATTCAATAATTTTATATCTTTCTACAGATAATTTATCTAAATATTGAATGAGTTTTAAAATTACACCAAATATTCAACTGTTTATTGAGCTTTTCGACCTAGTACATGATTATAAAAATGAGCTTAAATTTGTGTTGTTGTGAGATATGTTATGGTATAAAGAGCGGTACTTTGTCTTTCACTTTCAAAAGCTAAGAAAATATTTAAAAACTTTTCCAAATGCCAATTTACTGACAAAAAAATTTTTTATTTTTTTGTTATTTTCTATTTTGCCTCAGTTGTTCTTGTCAAGTATAACTGAATGTAAACTTATTAGTTTTTCAAAAACTTTTGTTGTTACTTGAAAACTGGTAAAGTTGAATTTTCAAAATCTAGTAAGCTYATGTTTTCAAGCTTCTCGAAAAATATAGTTAAGACGTTTATGAATGAAAATACGGTTCTTGTAAAAACATAAAACTTTTGATGTGGATAATTAACCAAACATTGTTATTAGTGTAAAAGAATTAAGTAAAAGTAAGCTTATGTATTTTGCTCACCTTTTGTTTTACCAGTTTTCAAGTCTGTTTCATAGTCTTGATTTGTCCATATATAAAAAGTTCGGAAATCTCCAAAATTTTAATTTCAATGAAAGACATCCGAGGTAAATTTCACTAAACCTGATATTGTATTGGTTTATTTGTAGTTATCTTTCGTTTTATAAGTAAAATTAACCAGGAATTCAAAGCTTAAAAAATGTCGGCCATGGAACGAAAACTTTGTCGAAGAATCTTCCAAGAAAAAAACTAGCCCCTGGGGGGGTTGGTGGTGAGTTGTGTACAAAATTCATATAAGTAAGATCGGGAGAGTATTCTCGCGCAAAGAAAACGATGTAGTGCATTTTGATTCGTTTTCAGTGCATGCTTTTTATTATGGGAGACATTATCTGAATGTTGGATACAAAAATTGAAGTTTTTTTTCCGATTTTAATTTTATCTTCCACATTCATTAAAATTGGGCTCACTGTGACTTGCGTATCAGGAGCTCCGCTTTTAGGCAGTGGCTAAATATATTTAAAAGTATGTTTTCACGTTTTATACTGTCGCAGTATTTTATATCTATAAGTAGTAAAAATACCTGTAAAAAATGAAAATACCTCTTTTTATTGGAGGGGGAAGGGAAACATAATATGTGTGGGTGTGGAGGGGGGAATGTCATATCAATTTATTTGTATGCAAAATATTCTACTGAGTAAAAGTTTTTCTGCAGTAGGAAAGGGGAAGGTAAAAATATGCAGATCAAAAGTAAAATGCATCAAGCCATCCCTCCACCTCTCAAAAGCTTAAATGACACAGTGTATCAATATAACCTTCAATAAGCATCATAGTTTAAAAACATTCACAAGTGTTAACTTTATACACGTTGATGAAAACGGAAATAATACAAGGTTAAAGCTTATCATGTAAAATATGAACGAGTTTGTTTTACAGCTGTTGTAGGTTGTTTTGCAAATTGTGTTCAACGTACATTACATTACCTGAAGATTTCTCCTCATAAAATACCACAAGGGTCGGTGGATCGTATCTAACTCCACATTTCTTAGGTGAATACATCGTAGATGAGAATTCCAAGTGTTATTCCAGTGCTTCTGTCATGTTAATTGCATCAGAGTCGGATTTCGCTTTTACTATCCATTCTGTTTATGTTTCTGAAACTTTACATGGTCAGCGGTCTTATGTTTAGCTACGCATGTTCTCTGATAATTCATATATACTGCTGACCATGAATTAATCATAATTGAATTAGATATATTATCACGGGTAGCCCAAGCTAAATTTCAAATATAAAAATACTACCGAAAGTTTCCTTTTTTCCCGTATGCTGTGGAGATTACCGTTTAGGTTAATTTTTATTTTTGAAATAAGAAATTTAGGGCCATGCATCTAGACGCACTGTCGAATCGCACTTGGTATGGCAGCGCGTGAGTATCTACGGCTATGCCCGTGATTTAGTTTCCGGTATAGCAGTACCGCTATTACCTAGTGACTGATCAGGAAGCCGTCCTTGGCTAAGGGAGAGGTTAGTCGTCCCCTAGACCGTAAAGGATTTACACCTTGCTATTAGCAAACATAGACCCAATATGTCGTTGCTGTCGGTTACGCCCAGGTCACGCCACTGCCAGACCAATCACATTGCGCGAGAAAAAAAAGCTTTAATAACTGCAGTTTGTGCAGTTGTCAAATGAGCGAAGCAGGCCGCTGGGTCACCTGATCAACACGTTATCTTACTTGGCGTTGCTTTAGCGTTACCATGGTTAAATGGCAGTAGTCACAGTTTCTGCGCACCACTGGATTGATTTTGTTGTTGCCGATCTTGTGAACTTACAAGTTTGTTTAATGCAAGTGCACCGAATTCTTTTCCTTTCTTTTCCTTTTTCTTTTTCTTTTTCTTTTTCTTTCTTTCTTTCTTTCTTTTCTTTTCTTTTCTTTTCTTTTCTTTTCTTTTTTTTTCTTTCTAGAGTTTTGATTCCGTTTGAACTGAGATCTTTTAGCTTGCTGTCCGATCCAATCATCAAATCCACACCTGTTCAGTTTTTGGCGCAATCCATTATAATCCTTCCTTGATCAGATGCTACATGGATCACTGGTATGTAAAGGAAATAGGATTATATTCCATATTAAATTTGACTCCATTGAAAAATATCTTTAAAACGAAATCAGACAAAGACTGAAGGTACCTTGAATCTGAAAACGGAAAAGTGCGCATGCTCAAACCTCACTTTTGTTTTTATTCGCCCCAAACCGGCAATTAAGCTTTCATTCTCCGTCTTTTGAAGAATTCCACCCACTACTCCTTCCTGCTCCTTTGATTTTTGTCTATCAAGAAAATTGTTTTTCTTAAATTGGAATTTAATTTATTTAGTTCATAGACGTCCGTGCTAGGAATAATTGGAAGTGATTGGCAAGCCCTAATGAGATTTATAAGGCGCTACTGTTTTCTATCCCTCCTCAAACTGAATTAAAGCCTTATAGGCGACTATAGAATCAATTCATTTTAATTTTTTCTTCTTCTTTTTCCCCCCTTTTTGTTTTTGGTTTCATTTCATTTCTTTGTCGTCCATCTTAATTTATTCATTTTCTTGTTGTCTTCTTCTTTTTTTCTTTTTCTTCTTTCCTTCCTTCCTTTTCTTTCTTCTTTTCTTTTCTTTACTTCCTTTTTTCTTTCTCTCTTTCTCGTTTATTCCTTCTTCATTCCTCCTTTCCGTAATTCTCTCTTTCCTTCTTATTTTCATTCAGTGTATTTTTTTTGTCTTTAACTGTTCGAGTCTCTTATTCGTTCTATTATGGCTGTAAAAGCTTATTCGGTGCACTGTCGTTCCTATTAAAGTTAAAAACATCCATTAAGATTTTTAAAATTTCATTATTTCATTTGCTGGAAGCGACCTTTCAGTATGCACGTACGTTTTACTTGATTTAAACCCCTAGCGAGAAAGTCAATCGATTCCCATTAAAATGTCACCTTCTAAAAAACCGAACTTCGAACATGACAAGGGCCGCGGTGAATGAAATACATGGCGCCTAGATAAAAATGACATGATTATTTTCTGTAATTTCGAATCAAAAGGAGCGAATAGAAAAGGAATAGGTGTCCTGATCATGTATGAGTCACCTTTGAAGGGAATTTAGAGGTCGTTCAGTGAAATGTCTAGAGCGTTGGATGGATTTTAACAATTCAAGGAAATGAAGACCAAACAAAGGCTCGACTAAAAGTCTTGTAGCGCTAGCGAGAGATTAGGGTTTACAGTCGATTCATAAAACGTTGTCGTTGACCAGCCTACGCGACTGGACCGAAAGGAAATCTGGGTAGACATCACTGAAGCGATTGACTGCATAGCTTTATCTGATTGATTATGCTCAATGGCTACAGGACGAGCTCGAGCGTAAAGTGTTGAAACGTTTTTTTATAATGCCTTCCCATTTTTAAAATTGTAAACTGAATCATAGCTACTTTGTTTTTCTTTACTTAGACCCCAAGCACATTTAATGGGTTCTTGATCGCCATAATTATCTTTACTACTAGCAGGAATTAATTCAGAACGAATATTTAACCGCTTCAATGATTTTTACCCATATTCCTTTCGGTCCAGTCGCGTGGGCTTGAGCCGGTCGACGACAACGGTCTATCGAATCGACTGTGTATCGGTAGGAAATAAGCGTAAAAAAAGGAATTAAAAAGAATAACTATTTAACAAGATTTATTTAGCAATAAAACATTTAGCTGAGGTTTGTCTTTAATCTCAGGCATCTTGAAATGAAATATGTTGCAGCCCTACCCTGAAAATTCATAATTTCAAATACACGCTTTAGGCTAAATTAAATCTACTTCCATGATTGTTATAAATCAATTACCATTAGCCACACTACCATTTTATAGATTTTTCAGTAATCGGACCTTTGAAAAGTAGAACCCCTAGTCTAAAGAATGGCATATGAAGAGACGTTGTCGAATCCATTCAAAAATAAACCACTTTTTGGCATTGCGAATGAATTACTGCATGCAAGTACTAAACTAATACCATCGGAAATAATCTTTTTGTTTTACTTTTGTTTAATAGTTCAAAAATTGCGATTCAAAGCCTATTTTTAATTCTATTAATATTCTAATATAGTTTCCGATGATGGGCGCGTCACACTCTTCTTATGCGAACTAGACTGTTTTTAAAATGTCTCTAATCTGAAGTTTGCCGGCAATTTGCGGGAAAAACAAAGCGATTTTTTTAAAACATATATATTTACCAAGTTATCACAGTAAGGATACAAGTAATCTTCTGCAGATTAAGAATTAATTACTCTAAGCCTCATTGACTGAATTCCCCATTTCCTTTTTGATTTCGAGAAAAGGAACGTCGTTTTTATGTTGTTTTCAATACCTATTGAGTTTCTTGACCTCTAATTACTCATGCAATGGCGCCCTTGCCTCACCTGCCAGTGCTCAGCCTAGAACAATATTGATCGTTATTCATTCTACGTTCCTATATTTTACTGTAATAGGATACTGATCCAAACATCAACTTAGTTAGGGCAATAGCCTGCGTGGCGGTCGTTCTTGGCTGGGGGCTGCTGATGAACCAAATAAACAAAATAACTCTGGACTGGGCCAGGTTAGACTAAATCTGACGCTGATCTCTGAGACTGATTGAGAAGCAAGAAGGTTTGATGGAGGCATCTCTTACTCGTTAACAACATAAAGATTGGAAATTTAAAGGAAGCGCCCACACAACCTTATCAAAGACTTCTTGACAAATGGATAGGAGCCTCCCTACCTGTGGTGGGATTTAGGCAAACTGAATGACTCATATCCCTTCCTGTACGTAACTATTCAGTGATTTATCGTACGCATCTAAAGATTAAAATTAAAATCAATTATCTACGAAACAGATCGAAGTGAGAACTGGTTCCGTACAGAAAAACAGAACTAGACTTTTCTTTGTGCATCAAAAAATAACTCAAAATTAATAATAGTCAACTGCTCCAGAATATCGATAAGTATCTAGTTATATATATCGGACCACGGCGCGCGCTCCCGTGTGGGATGGTTAGCTGTCTTGAATGAGGCTGGTTCTGACCAAAGTGATAAACGACATTCACTGATGCAATTTAAGTCGTAAAGACTTGTATTTTGTACAATAATTTCTTAAGCTCTCCTAATTATTTGGTTAGTTGCCAATAGTCCAACTAATATTGAGCATTGCTTAATGGTGTCCCGATTTTTGTATATATATATTTTTGTATTTAGGATATCCGGCGATTAACTTTAAGTGCGTCTTTAATTTAGAAGTCCGCACAAGGGCTTTTAATGCTACGAAAGTTTAAAGTATTATAAGGATTGAGAAGATAAAGAGAAGGAGATGGTTAATCTCTTCAACGGACAAAATGCGATTGTATAAAGACTAAAATCTTTCATCGCTTCCTGATAGAGTAAACGGAAATTGAGTTTGATCAAAGTCTTCTCTTCCCTCGGGTTGTTTGAAATTGAATACTGAATTTACACGACATGTTATAAACCGGCGATTTGAGAAATCGTTATTCAACAGGAAACAATATTCATCCCTTCCTCTTCAGTGGATTTTTTGTTCAAGAGAAATACTCTAATAGCCAGCAATATTACGTCAGTGAGCATTACAATTGAACTTTAATTGTATTCTAGAGCTGCACTAGTGCCAGGAAGCTCTAAATTAAAGACATATTGGTTTTCTGCAGGAACGACACCTGGTTTTGCCCCCCCCAGGTTAACCCGACGAGGCGGACCAGTATATTTAAATACTTTCTATGAGTGACACAATTATGATGGATGAATATCCAAATTCGTTGTATTCACGTCATTAAAGGTATTTTTTTTCGAGCCGCACTTTATAAAATAGCGTTGGGGCCTTTTTTCTCGATGTTTATTTGAAGCGCAATCAGATCTTCAACTTTTGAAGTAAAGACACTCGAAAGTAGAATATGATGAAGAGCTGTTTGGTTTTTGTACTGTTTATAGTCGTTTTGTGTGTTTGCCAAGCAAGGGACGTTAAAGGTAAACCTGCCTTACCTGATTATGAACGACGAAGCCAGAATCCAGGTATCTTAAGGAAAACTGAAGAAACAAGTCAAAGTAACTTGGATACGTCATTGCCAATAGTAGCTGTTTCCACACAGTTGTTCCATCCCAGAAAAAGGTGTT